GGCCAAAATTCACTTAGCGTTGTGTTATTCAGTTCCGAAAGCTTCCCGATACAGCCAAATTCAAAGAGTTTACCGTTTCACCGGATAACTTAGTGTGCTTCTCGGGATTTCAAAACGTTTTCACGGCACAACACGATGTAAGTTCACTTACTTTATTCAACACGTTTCTTTAATGGTTTCAAGTTAATCATGCAATTATTTCTCTTAATCGTGTAGATTTTTACTTTGTAAGTAAACTACAGCTCTTATCATGCCTTATCACTAGATTGTCAGTAGATTACCGGTACTAAGTTGCAGTTTCCGTTGCAAATCGACGGTCGACTCTACGATAACGTGAATCATTTTTATCAATTGGCCAAAACAGAGGCACTGTGCGGTGTCACCTCGTTATTAATGACAGATTCAGACGAGGCAGGTAGTAATAGCGCAGGTGGAGGGGGCACGACAAAGGAGAAAACAAAGGATTACAATACGCTGGCAAGGAATATTTTAAAAATAAATAAGGTTTGTTTTGTTACTATTGTTGATTCGTTATCATTATTTGTTATTAGTATGTTTAGATTGAAAAAATTTGTTGTTCTAGGTAGATAAATCGGCAGCAGAAGAATGGCGTAAGACAGCGGGATTGGAAGCAATGCAGGTGAGTGGGTCGGGCAGTAGAATGCTGCGAATTTTTTAGATAAATGAGATGATTTGATGAAATTAGTAGTGAATTAAACTGATTTTGGGATGAAATATCTGATGAGGTTTAGTTTAGTGATGATGATTATCATGGGAGAGTGATAATTGTGTTGAATTTTACTACAGCGAGCTCTGTTGGCGAAAGTGGAGCAGTGTGATGAACTGCGTAAGGCTTTGCTGGATTCGGGAGATAAGCTCTTGGTGCATTGTTTTGGTGGTGACGACTTCTATGCGTCAGCATGCAACGGTCGTTACATACAGGATTGGGCGAGGAGTATGAGCAACAATAAAGTGGTGATTAAGGTGAGTGCTGAGGGGTTTTGAGTGTTGATTGATTGAGATTTTTTTGGGGGGATTTTGGTGGATTGTTATAATGGTTTGGAGCGATTTTGAACGGGTTTGATGGCTGATCTGTTGTAGATTCCATTGGATTTCCCGTTAACATCGGAAACGGTGTTATCTGTGCCGAAATTTGGACTGGGACGTAATGCGTTGGGTGTGATTTATATGCAGTTAAGGGAGATGGTGAGTGTTTTACGATGAATTGGGAGCAGATTTTTGGGAGATTGAAGTGAATTTGTTTGAAAGGCGTGATTTTTTTTTGTGGGTATTTTGTTTGGTTTTGGATTGTGAGTGGTATTTGAGTTGATGATTTGATTGATGTTTCAGTTAAGAGACGGGCTGCTGCCGTACAAAGGAGTGCTGAAAGAGGTGAGTGAGGTGTTCGGTTCGGATTTGGGTGCTTGTGAAGTTATTCTATGGGGGAAACCTTTTTTGGGGGGCGAAATTGCGGAGTTTTTAGGGGTTTCTTAAAGTATTCATGGGTTCGAGCTGTTATTTTTCGTAAATCGCGCCTAATTTGAAAAAAATTTTGTACATTTCAAGCAAAATTCAGGAGTGTGACGAACAAAATAATCATTCAATGGACATTTTGAATCAACAAGACGAAGAGGGTGGTGGACCAAGTGTAGTACCAAGCGTACCGGCACCAATAAAGGTTAATTTTAGGTCTTTTGAAATAAAGGGGAGACGAGATATTTTAAAATTACAAGCGGGAGTTGAATTTTTGAGCAATTACAGGGCGAATCACGAGATAGTGACATGGGTGATGGGTTTGCGATGGATGGAAGTCCGATATGAGGACGATTTGGGGTGAGGGCGGATCTCTTAAGTGGTTTATTATTATTATAATCATTATTGTTATTGTATTGATTAATTGTTGTGTTATATAAAGAATGGTGTTTTCTTTGAATTTAATGTTTATTTAATACATTTTGCAAATTGAGTTGTCGAATTTCGGTGTGTTATCATTATTATTATTATTGTTGTTGTTGTTTTTATTGTTGTAATCAGTTGATTTTATCGTTGTGTTGTTTTATTATCACTTTTTTGTGAGTATTTAGTGGAAGAGGGAGTGTTTTGTGGAGAATTTTATGTGAATTTGACTTATCTAATTGTTTTGAGGCAATGGAAAGTGTTTTTTGAATTCATATCGTTGTTATTGTCATTATTGTTATTGTGTTGTTCTTTTCGAGTTGATGGTTTCGAACGGAATTTCGAATGGCGCGAATGCGGTTTCTCGGGGGATTTGTGACGATTTTAAATTATTTTTTAACGTTATTTTTTGTGTGGTTTCATGGAAATTGTTTGAGTTTTCGTAAAATTTTCGTAGGAATTTGAAAATTTCCACAGGAATTTTCCGTTTCATATCGTTTTTGGATCGCGTATCCGTTTTGAAATTTGATTTTTTTGTTTGTGAAT